CAGACAATCCGATACAAGGTCCAGAAGTCACATGCAACCAGGAGACGTTTGAAACTTTTGGAACTGTTGAAACTTTTGAAATTTTGAAACTTCTGAAACTCAACATAACACTGTATGAATAAATTTACATATATCATGTGTATTACATACAATGTATATTAAATAATACAGAATATTCTATAGTATAATTCAAAATACAAGTTTACATAATATGTTATAGATCATAATATATAATATATATAGAATATGTATTATGTCTATTGAATAAATTATATTCCGTATTGAACATTATACATATTTTAAGTCGTATAAATATATAATTTAATATTATGTATAAAATATACTATATGTAATACATATATATATATATCATACTATACTATGTAATATACAGTATATATATAGATATTACTATCATCATTGAATAGTATACAATATATATAATACAATAAATATATAGCATGTTATATTATATTTTATTATAGCATATAAAATATAAAATAATATGCAGTATATACTAGTGTTGTTTAATGATATAATATATATATATATATATATATATATATATATATATTACAATATATCATACATTACATTCCACACACTTGCAGAACTTGCATAGAAATGTGTTCTCCGATATTTCCTAACTTTGCACCAAAAAACAAACACTTCCGTTACAAAACTAATAAATACAGAATTGAATATCGTTTCAAAAGATTTTATTGTTTGCGCTTTTTGTTGCGGGGTGCTATATATCGAGCACTTGCAGAACTTGCATAGACACGCGTTCTCCGATATACCCAAAGTTCTCCCCAAACTACAGCAACTTTCTGTGCCAAACTAATAAATACAGAATTGAATATCGGTTTTAGAAATTTAATTGTGCGCGCTTTTCACTGCGGGGCGCTATAAATCGCACACTTGCAGAACTTGCACAGAAACGCGTTTATCCGATATTTCCCAGGTTCCCCCCCCCCCCCCAAAAAAAAAAAAAAAAATTAGCCTGACGAGGGACCCAACCATATACAGGTGTGAGTACCGCAATAGTGATTCACTTTTTCGGTGGCGATCCCTATGAGGCAACGAACCGTGCTAGGGGTGTGCCGACATGAGTGGCGTGGTACACAACGCGAACGAAAACGATTGATCTGAGTACGTAGGGAGACTGAGCGCGGGTGAATCTGCGCGCGTGCGTCTGACTGTGAATGAATCTGCGTGCGAACGAGTCTACGTGCATGAATGCGAATATGACAAAGCGTGGCGCAATTGTGTATGAATGTCAATAGTTTGACAATGTCTGCCTCTGAGTACTCGTGACGCTGGGCGTGGCCGCCGCAAGGAGCTTCCCCGGGACTCCCCGACGGCATCGCCCGCGCGCCGCGACGCCAATGTCGGCGCGCCCACCGGCGAGGATCGCGCCCGCTTCCTCCCCTTCCTTTACTCCCTCTTTGCCCGCGCACTCAAAAGTCCAAGGTTGCGGGCGCAGCGCAGCGCGGAGTCCCCGCGACGCGCGCAGGTCGCCCCGGAGGGGTCCCAGCGACGCGCGCGGGTCGTCCACTGCGCGGAGCAAAAAGAGCTAGCTGGCTGGCTGATAGCGGGCAAGGCTCTTGCCGCTGGGCAGAGAGACGACGGGACGCATGCGGGCACACCCACTGGGACCTTCGGTGGAGCTCCCTATGGGGCCACGGAACGTGTGAGGGGTGTGCCGAAATGGGTGTGCGGGACGCATGCGGGCACACCCACTGGGACCTTCGGTGGAGCTCCCTATGGGGCCACGAAACGTGTGAGGGGTGTGCCGAAATGGGTGTGCGGGACGCATGCGGGCACACCCACTGGGACCTTCGGTGGAGCTCCCTATGGGGCCACGAAACGTGTGAGGGGTGTGCCGAAATGGGTGTGCGGGACGCATGCGGGCACACCCACTGGGACCTTCGGTGGAGCTCCCTATGGGGCCACGAAACGTGTGAGGGGTGTGCCAAAATGAGTGTGCGGGACGCATGCGGGCACACCCACTGGGACCTTCGGTGGAGCTCCCTATGGGGCCACGAAACGTGTGAGGGGTGTGCCGAAATGGGTGTGCGGGACGCATGCGGGCACACCCACTGGGACCTTCGGTGGAGCTCCCTATGGGGCCACGAAACGTGTGAGGGTGTGCCGACATGGGTGTGCGGGACGCATGCGGGCACACCCACTGGGACCTTCGGTGGAGCTCCCTATGGGGCCACGAAACGTGTGAGGGGTGTGCCGAATTGGGCGTGCGGGACGCATGCGGGCACACCCACTGGGACCTTCGGCGGAGCTCCCTATGGGGCCACGAAACGTGTGAGGGGTGTGCCGAAATGGGTGTGCGGGACGCATGCGGGCACACCCACTGGGACCTTCGGTGGAGCTCCCTATGGGGCCACGGAACGTGTGAAGGGTGTGCCAAAATGGGTGTGCGGGACGCATGCGGGCACACCCACTGGGACCTTCGGTGGAGCTCCCTATGGGGTCACGAAACGTGTGAGGGGTGTGCCGAAATGTGTGTGCGGGACGCATGCGGGCACACCCACTGGGACCTTCGGTGGAGCCCCCATGGGGCCACGAAACGTGTGAGGGGTGTGCCGAAATGGGTGTGCGGGACGCATGCGGGCACACCCACTGGGACCTTCGGTGGAGCTCCCTATGGGGCCACGAAACGTGTGAGGGGTGTGCCGAAATGGGTGATGACGATGATGATGAAGATGGGAGGAGGGAGGGGGCAGCGGGAAGGAAGGAACGCGGGGCGACGTCTCTTCAAAACGAGGACCCAACACCACAGGATGGTTGGGAAAAACTGTACAAAACTAATACATACAAAATGAAATATCGTTTTTAGAGATTTTACTGTTTGCGCTTTTCAGCGCGGGGTGCTATATTTCACACTACCGGACAGATCTTTTTTCATTACTCACCTAGCCTCCTCTTCCCAGTAACGCGAGGACGCACTGCCGCTGTGGAAACATCAACCGCCTGATCTGTTGCAATCAATACTGATTTGTGGAAGGCTCAACTAGGTTGCTTGTGTAAATGAAGGACGCGCATGGCATTCATCACTTTACAACTCCATATCTCGAAAGGAACGGGCCCCATGTCAAGCAGCGCAACCTTCACTTGGTCATAGAGGTTCTTCAAAGTAAAGCCAGCGTATTGGCAGATAAGATTCAATTCCCGCACGTTTGGGCCAAGTAAATCAAACATGCGATGATCGGAAACATGCATGTACTCGCCATGCGCATTATACAGCCAAACTAATATGTGCACTGCTCTAAAAGCCCCGATCCCTTTGACGCTGTCACTGGCCAGCGCATCGAAAGCATCGGTGTATGCATACATTAAATCTTTCGCATTGCCAATTTTTAACATAAAATCGCGAATCCAGTCGGTGTGCTGTCCAAAATTCACATTGTTAAGGGCACTGGTCCTTCGAACCTCATTAGTAGTACCCTCTGCCATGTTGACGCCTGCTTTCACATTCGCGTCAGTAACCAGCATATACCGAAGTTTGTCAATAGTTACGCCACTATTCTTCCCACAACAAACTATTGAATTCACCAGCGACGATAAATGAAGCTAACGACTTGGATCTGCCACTCGCGCAAACCAGAAGTAAAATTGCGAGGCCGCCCGGAAATGTCCCCCGAGGCAATTTCAAGCTCAACGCGAATTTCCGCAACATGCTCGGAACTGAGTCTAAAGAAACATCTGTGTTCTGTATTTGGAACATGCTAAGCATATCTCGAATTGTGAACGCTTTGTTGAATTATTTGAAAACTTGTGGGGTTCGTTGCGTTTTTTGTTTCTGTCCTTTGCTGAGAAGAGTTGTCAACTCAAACTCATGTTCAAACAGACGACGAACAGACATGCCATAAAGATCCATATCTTCTTCCTCGCCGCCCCGTATATTTCTTTCCACCCACAACGCAACCCAGAAATCATCTCCCCCCTTGGTTTGTGATGGGCATGTGCCGGAGAACATTCAAAAGTACCGTTCCGTCGTTCCACTCAAAAGATCTTTGCATGTAGCACGACCGTTTTTGCTGCGTCAGATGTCTGTCCTTCATAAGAAGCCATCAGGGCTTGAACGCTATCAAAATTATCACATTTTTGATGACATCTGCAATGACCATGACAACTGAGGAAGGATTTCGGTCGAAGCCGAAAGCTTATGAAACCGAATCTCTTTGTCAGCGCCAGTTGAGCCAGTACGCTACCAACGGCCACGTGTATGCTCAGCATCATTCTCCTGATTCTACTCATATGTATGATACCCCACTTCACCTCCTTGCCCCTTCCTCATTATCATGTTTCCTCTTCCTCATCCCCCTTCTCTCCCTTCCTCTGCCTCCTCGTCCTCGTCCTCGTCCTCCTCCTCGTCGTCCTCCTCTTCCTCCTCCTACTCAAATGTCCCGTCCTCCTTCTCTTCCTTCTCCTACCTCCTCCTCCCCCCCCTCCTCCTCCTCCTCCTCCCCCTCCTCCTCCCCCTCCTCCTCCTCCTCCTCCCCCCCCCTCCCCCTCCTCCTCCGTTCCTTGCCTTTTACAGAAGCTAAAAAATAAACGTTCCAGCCCATTTTTATACCCCCCCCCCCCCCCTATTTTCAACAAAAGGGGGGTCTGAAAATGGGCCCGAATGGTATTTTTCACACGCTATATGCCCCCCCCCCCCCCCTTTCGCCCCCCCCCCCCCCCAGGAACCCCCAAATCCCCCCCATGGGTTTTAATCCTTTGACATTTGCTCAACAAGCTCGATTTCGCACTACGACAGTGATAATGCTGATGACGATACTGGTGGTTAGGTGATAATTGAATGAACGCTCGGTGAGATTTGAATGAACGTTGGGCGTGGAAACGCAACGATGACGAAAATATCATATGATGGACGATGAAGCTTTTCAATCAGTCGGTCGAACGCCGTCGCCCCCCATCAGCGGCGGCATCGACGTCAGCGCTGTAGCGGTGGAGGGCAAGGCCGAGGCCCTCACCGGTCGTCCGCGCCAGGAGGCAACCCGCCCCCGCCGATCCCCGACGACAGCGCGGACGTAACGTTGTCGAAGCTGCGCCCGACGTTCACCCCGAACATGTACTCATCCAGGAGGCTCTGCACTACCACAGGGAGTTTCCCGTGTCGAATACGAGCCCACTGCTTCATGCGGCCGTTCTCCGACTCGCCGTCGTTCGTGTGCCAGCCCTCCTTGTTCCTCCATTCGTCCTTGTGCACCACCACTTTGTGCTGTCCCGATCGGCGCAGGCGCTTGATGGCCGCAACCGTGCCGGCCCACTCATCCGTCACCGAGATGGCGCCGCGCTTCGCGTGCCGCTGGAACAGCGTCTTCAGTTCCTCCTCGCCCCTCGGCTTGCCGTGTCTAGCCTGGTGCGCCATGGGGAGCAGCCTGGCGACCACTTGCTTCTTGCCGCTGTCGTGCGTGCACTTCTCGCCGTCCTTCGCGCCCACGAGGGTGGCCAACCAGACCCACCGCGTGCGCCGATTCGGCTTCGGCCCAGGCGTGCGCTTCGCCATCCTCGCCTTGATCTCCTGGGAAAGAGCCTCGCCTTTCTTCGTCCACGTGGTGCGAGCTGGCAAGCGCTTCTTGATCCGCACCCTGGCGAGCTCGCGCCGCCTCTGCCCCCCTGGCTTCACGGGCGCCTTGGACACGCCCTTTCCCTTCCCCCGCGCCGTCTCGTCCACCACGACGACGCTCTTGCTGTCGCCGAGGGCGTAGGGCGCCGAGCCGTTCATGTAGGTGTTCATGTCCTTCTGGGCGTGGTTCAGCCACTTCGGCACGTACTTGCTCCGCGGGCCCATCTGGAACTTGCGCTTCAGCTCGGCGAGCACGACACTCCAGCGAACATCGATGCACAGGAATGAGAGGAAGTAGAAGAACGCTGCCCAGTGGTCCTGCCTGGTGCGCGACAGCACCCCCAGTCCTTGCACGCCCTTTGTCGCATGGCAACACGGACAGTGCCACGCGCACCTCAAGACGCCAGGTCGATCGTGACGGGGGCGATCTCGCAGCGACACGCGCCCGCGGCACTTCTTCTGCCAGCACCGCGCCTGCGCGTGCGCAAGTCCAAAGTGCAGCGCCACGATGATGCCCCTGAGGCCCCAGGTGTCGACGACGCGCGTGACCTTCAGCGGGCGCTGCATCTGCTCCAGGAACGCGAAAGGCGACTCTACCGCGGGCCCGCTGAAGCCAGCCGCGAAGGCGGTCAAGCAGACAGGGGCAACGGTGGAGACGCCAGGGACGTCGCTGCGCGGCTTCGGACGTCGGCCCACGCTGGCCGCCGCCCACCCCCCCTGCGAGAATCCCCGCGATGAGGCGTCAAATGGCCGCGGGGCGCGCGCGGTTCTAAGACGCTGATCAATGCTAGCATGCCGCCCCTATCACGCTGACAAAGCGAATCAAACATGCGCTGCCTCCCGATTGGTTTTGCTGCTCGCAACTGTTCGCAATCGGGATGGCAGGTCCCGACTGGCACCCAAGCTCCACGAAACTATGATGCACCCGCTCCTCCATCGCGCCGCCCCCGTGCGACGCGCGGGCTGCCCGCTCGCGCGTCAATCATCGCCGACCTTCTGCTTCTTCGCGCCCGAGGTGCGCCTCTCCCCGCCGCCGCCGCTGCGCTTGTCCCCGCCGCGGGTCTCGAGCTTCTTGGACTTCATCTTCTCGATCAGCTCCTCGGCCTTGACGTTCGCGAAGCCAGCGAGCGCCTCAGCGCAACCAGAGGGCGCCGCCTCCCCGTCGGCGGGCACGTGGAACACGAGCGCATCCGTCTCCTCGTCGAACTCCCCAAGCACCTCGGGGCACCGCTTCGCCACGGCGCGGAAGGAGTGCACGCTGAACTTGTCCTCCTCGCCCAGCTCCTTCTTGGAGAAGAGCGACCACGCTGCGCGGGACGAGACGCCGAACTGGTCGTCGGGGCCATCCCTCACCGCGGCGCCCTTCAGCAAGATGCGCCTGGCCACGTCGCTGTCGAGAAACGCGGACTCCTGCGCGCGCCGCTCCAAATTGAAGTCCGTGCGCGGCTGCTCCTTCTCGGGCTCAGGGGCGTCGCCGTCGCCGCGGAAACCCTCGGACACGGCGTTGAAGACCTGGAGCAGGGCGTAGGCGCGGTGGACCTGCTCCTCCGAGACCAGAAGCGGCACATCCGCCCCCTGGGCCGCCTCGCCGTCGCGCCACATCATGTCCCAGAGGAATATCATAGCCGAAAGCATTCCGAGCTTCCGCCTCGGCAGCAGCGGAGCTGTTGTTCTTGTCGCGGTTCTGCTTGACCTTGATCTGGAACCACGCGGCGTACGACAAGAACGCGCCCTTGGCCTTCGAGTCGAAGCCCATGTCGCAGCGGTCATTCTTGAACGCCGCCACCAACTTGCCCGCCGCCGCGCAAAGGTCGCGGCCCTCGGGCACGTCGATGTCGCGGACCGCGAGCGCCCACTCAGGCACGTACTTGTCACCCTTCCAGGCCATGCGCACGCGCGTGGCC